GCTAATCAAAACTTACCCAAATAACCAGATTTTGTTCATTACTAGGTCTGGTTGGGTCAATAACTCGCCTTCCGGTTATAAGTTCCAACAGTACAACTCCGAAGCTATAGACATCTGATTTAACCGTAAGATGGCCAGTTCTCTGATACTCAGGGGCACAATAACCGTAAGTTCCCATAATTCGGGAAGACACATGTTGTGTATCTCCAATAGGGCCTAGTTTCGCTAAACCAAAATCCGATAGTTTTGCAACGAAATCTCGGTTAAGCAATATATTTGACGATTTTAGATCTCGATAAATTACAGGAGGATTAGCCGTATCGTGAAGATACTCAAGACCTTTTGCTGCTCCTAAAGCAATCTTAATACGAGAGTTCCAATCTAGTGGTTTCTGTTCCGGTTCAAGATCTGTTTTAGTTACATCATCAAACCAATTGTGGTTAGTTTGTGGTTTGCTTTAAAAAAAATGAATAGTGTGTATTGAGATGATGAATTACCAAGGAGATGATCTTCGAGGGATCCAAGAGGCATATACTCGTAAACAAGAAGTCTTTGGTCTCCATCGGCGCAATAGCCAATTAGATTCACAAGATTCGAATGATGAAGAAGACTAAGCATCAAAACCTCGACCAAGAACTCTCTGTGGCCTTGTAATCCATTCCTATCAAGTTGTTTCACTGCTACGACCTATTTAAAATCCCAAAGAAAAAAGAGCAAAATTATGAATGACTATATTTCGTTGTACGTAAGACAAACATTTCTGTTTTCTTTTTATAGATAACCTAGTAGTGTTGGATCAAAATACAGACTAATCAAAAATATTGTTACAGGAGTTGACCTGTCCTGTTTTATCGAGGTTTCCTTTGTAAACCCGCCCGAACCCGCCTTCTCCTATGAGGCACTCTTGTCTGAAATTCTTTGTAGCGGTGGCTAACTCACGGAACGTGAAAGTCTCTGCCTCGATATTGTTCAATGGCGCGTCTGCTATGACTCCTCCTGTTGCTCTCTCTCTCATATTCTCTGCAGGAATAACATATAATCTTCTTAAAAGAAGGCTCAAAAAATCTATAACGATTGAGACAAAATGGAACGTGCACATTTTCGAGGAAATTTACAAGAACTTACTAGGTGAGGTTGGTTGCCTATAGGGAGCAGGCATGGAAGAACCTTCATTATCTGTATTTGTTGTAGAAAAGCACGAGAAACAATTCATATCTCTGCAGAATATATTGTTCTTGATTCTTCTAAAAACCTCTCTTACTTTCAAATGAAATATAAAAGATTTGCTACGACTTATGATGGGTTTTATACGAAGAACATAGAGATTACCAAACAGTCCCAAAAAAACAAAACAAAAAAACAATTTGATTTCCTGTTTTACTATGCAGATTTTATAGGTTATAACAGAAAAGAGGGAAAGAAGTATTTTGCAACGAAACTACATATGACAAAGAGAATCTCAAGACAAAACTAATTGGACAGAGAATGTTGGTTACCATTTGCCATTAATAAGAAAAAAATCTCTAGCAGTTTAACACATAATAAAAAGATAATTATTTATTTTACCAATTATTTTGACCTGTCCACAGAAAGTCATGTTTGTTTATAGATTTCTTTTCTACCTGGTTTGTTTTCTTGTGGTTTTATGAGGTGGTTTATATTTAGACAATAAATCATTTAAATCTACCATATTACACAATCTTTTATTGTATACATAGTTAGTTATG